AAAATTTGAAATAACGCTCATGTGCTTATTACGCGTTTATATACGGTAAATTTTCAATGACGACACACAACGAAATTATGATCAAATACGATAAATCCATTTTAAGCAACGATGTTACCATGAGATATATATTCAAGGCGTCGAATTAATCGTTACGTAAGATAAGAATACTTTACCAGTTATAAAAATTTGCGAGAGGTTCTCCAAAAACATGGAATCGATAATGACAAGTACGTAGTATACCAGTTTTCTTCCCAATTATGAAAATGAAAATTAAAAATTCGAGTTACAATACTTTTTTTTCTCATCGTTGTGTGTATGTTAAATGTATTGATTCGTTACTTAATATTATAGACTAGATTGATAATGTGGATGATCAGAACAAAGCACAGCGAAACCACTTTATTACGTCGAAAAAAATTCGAGTTAAACAAAATCTTGAAAATAATGAAATATCCGATAAACAAAATAATCGATATTAGTCTCGGCAGTAAATTCAGTTCTAAACACTATCCTTCATTCGCAGTTTGAGATTATTGAAGATACATATACCGGCAAATTTTATCCACAATTAACAGGCAGTATGTTTGAAGAAATTATCTGCATTATTGAAGCGAAGCAATTGATATAAAAGCAGATGTTATTCAAAAACTTAATGCAACTTGAAAGTTCGTTAGATTCAAACAATAACAAAAGCATAAGCTTGATGAGTTGTATCGAAATCAGGTGTATTCAGAATACGTCTACGAAATTGTATCAGCAGACGCTTATTGGTGCTTTTTTGAAGCATACATCAGATCAAATTTTCTATAGTCAAGTATTCGATTATATACCTTTGGTAACGACACAGTTAAATAATGACGAAGATTTTAGGAAGGGAATTAAAACGGCACTGGGCAAAACTATTTGGATGTATGTGCGGTGCACACAAAATTTTCCTACCTTAATATCAAACTTTCATGTAATGGATCATTCACAACATACCCTTCATTAAGCCAGTTCACTATTTTGGTAGTCTTGTGAAAACCGGCAAGCGATTTAAAGATTTGAAGCTGTTTAAATAAGTTCTTAATGTGGTTTCTATAAATTTCGTTACAGAAGCATTCTGATTGTCGATAATTTGCAAATTTTCACATTTTTGGTTATTATATGTAAATAAAAAATTCTCAATTAACTGTATACGGTGTACGCAATTTGTTTAGATTAAAATTAAAATTATTAAGGTCTAATCTTGTTCAAATTAAAATTGAGAATACTGTAATTAATGTTTCTATTATTTGTTTTGCCTTTTTTAGCAAAAAAAAAATTACTACGTATTATTTTATTTGGTTCAAAAAAGCTTAATTATTTATAGATATACACGGCAAAAATACCTAGTTTAGTAGAAGAGGCAGACTCCAACAATTTTAACTCAGATTTGATTTATGAACACAAAACCGCCCGAGTTAAAATGACTCACCAGTAGGATGGCACATGATTTAAATCACAATGTTATAAATCACTGATTTTTTACTTAAATCAATTTTAAATCTTTATTATGTAATGTATTTAGAAGATATAAATATATTTTTGAATTGCAATGCAATGGTTTTTAAAAAATTGCTCCCAAAGATCGGTGTTTAAATTAAATATAATAATGCATCACGCAATAAAAATCAAATGTTTTATAAATCATATCGATTTAAATCATGATTTTTTGCCATCCCTACTCACCAGTAAAGGTGGGCTATTTTAACTCGGGTGACGAATCTAATATAATAAGGCCACGACTTAATTGGTCAAATCGGGTTTAAAATATATAGATAGTAACCAGTGATGAGAATATGTTTGCACCTTTTAGTCATGCTATATAACGCGTAGGAGTGTAATTTCAAATTTTGGCCAAAATTCGGGCCATTATTCTAAATAACGCTCATGAGCGTTATTTCGCGACTATATGTGATCACGATGGATTGTAAAGATAAAGTACAATATTGTGATTTTGCTAAATTTTGAGAATTTTGAGATTATTAAAAAAAGTCGATTAGCAATTATTTTTTGTACTTACACATTAAATTAGTGAGAATAAAAGCTACAGTATTGTGTAAAGGTAAATATGAACTAAACTTGAATAGTTTACTTAAAATGCTTTGATTAATAAAAGTCGTAAATATTCACAAACTTTGAATAATTTATTTGAATACTTCTATTAATCAATGTTCTTTATACATACCCATTTAATTAGCGCAAAATAAAATGAAATGAATGCTATTATGTAAAGGTCAGACATGAACTCGAATAGCTTATTCTAGATCTTTCTATTAATAGATGCTCATTATACACCACACAATAATGCGAATAAAATAAATTTACTACGTGTAATATAATATTAAATATTCGCGAATTTGGTTGGTTTATTTTGAAATTCTTTTATTAATGACTGTTCCTTGTATTCACTACTAAATTAAATGAATAAGATGGAATGGAATTGTGTTACAATTAATACTCACAAACTTGAATAGGTAAATTTTCTTTATGCTCATCACGTTTAAAAATATTTAAGAACTTTGAATAGATTTATATTCATTTAAATATTCACAAATAATCATCAATTCTATCAATGATTATTATGGCCGATTACTCCGAATCAACTGATTAAGTATTTTATTCAATTGGTTTATCTTTTTTGATTCAATTCAATTACCCACAATTTAATTACTATATAATTACAAATTATATATAAATTATATAGCAAGAATAGACAAGCTCTAATAACTAATAATTTTTAATCTAGATGATTCATACTGTAATCACAAATATATACTATACATGTCTACTTATATTCAATAAGATCCTTTTAAAAAAGTTCATTGAAAAAGTGTAAAAAATTTTTTAATTTAAAATTATATATTTGATCTATAAGTAATCTAAACTTTTAAATATATACAAATACATACTACAAAAAACATAATCTTTATTTTTAGATATTTATTATACCAAATTCTATTTAAAAAAATAAAATTTATAGTATTTACTATAGTTTAAAAGATAAAACAATATATATTTTAAAAAAATATAAATCTTACTGTATACAGTATATGTCGTAAGTTGGAACAGAATTTAAGTTGATTCGGAATTATTTAAGGTTCGGGTTGGGATTTTTAGTATAATTATTCCGTTCTAATCTAAGTGAATTCCGAACCTATTATGATTCCATTCCCCATTTACAACGTATATAGTATATTAAAAAATTGAAATGCGACAAGATTGTTAGTTTTTGCTAATTTTTGTGATGTGCAACGGGTAATCACCGAAAAGCAAAACAAAAAAAAAATTGTTACATAAGATTACGTATCATCGTTATTGATTTTATAATTATTTATTAAAAATTTATTAATAAAACAAACAAAATAATATACAGTATATATTGTTAGAAATGAGATTTTTGCCTTGAAATCACACTATGTAACATATAAATTACTATATCCGGTTTTCTTCAAATAATTTTTGTAAAATTAATAATCAAGTTTTTTTTTTTTGCGAAAACCTGCAATTTCGATTTTTGCCGGCTCCGCTTTCTGATCCGGTTCCTGAAAAATTTAAATTAAGCACAACATAAATTATATGGTGTGTTAAATTACATTTTTTGGGGTTTAATCTGTAAAGTTAATTTCGGAAAACTCACAATTCCTGGTTTTTACACTCATATAATATACAATTATACAGTATATTATATATATATGTGTATTTACAGTATAACTTAATATATATATATATAGTATATATCGATAAAAAATTAATTAGACATACTTGAATTAGTGTGCTGTATCGGTATCAAATTAACTATATTTGGATAAGTTCGAAAAATAGATTTGTTCTCCTGGGTAAATACCCGACAGGGTCTCCATTTTTTTACCTGGCTCAGAAGGCATCCTCATAATGCATTCCAAGGGTCTAGTGCTTAAAAACCCTTGGGGGATTATTCTTTAATAGGAAAAAAACAAAAAATAAAAAATAATAATACGATTATTCTAAATTCTCAGTCTTTCTGGTTTAACCCGGTTAATTCATCGTGCTCACGTAATATTATTTAATAAAATTGTTCTAATTCATAGTCATTCCGGTCTAGCCAGGTTCAATTTTCATCGTGCTAACGTAATAATATAATAAATATTTCAACCCAAATATATCATGACCAATCAAAGATAATGCTGCGGATATTAAACGACCTTAACTTTTTAGCTATCAGTAACCCAACAAATATAGTTCTACGTAGTTACATCAATGCGAGTTCAATGTAACTCGGACAATGAAGAGCACAAAAAAAGTAGTTTCTATATTTAATATTCGATTTTATTCAAAAGTAAGTTTGGCTACGTAGATGTACACATTTCAATCAATTATCGAATCCTTTTTCAAATAATAAAAACGTGAAAATTTACGCTTCATATGAAAGTTTCTAATTTTAATAAGTGTTTATCTTTTCACCATTTTAAAGCTAATTGATTATACATATATGTATATATATATTTGGTATTCATTGAATTTTTCTTTTTTGTAAAAATGTGATTTTGAATTCGTAAAAAGGAATTATCGTTATCAGTTATAGAAAAACTTTATGTTGGTATATATAAAGTATAAATTTCCATTAAGAGGTGGTGTGTTCAACAAAATAGATGACGTTTTTGAATTTTATTACTGCAGTGGACATGTGTAAAAGTTGAAATAAATGATTTTAAGGTTAAATATATATCACCAATCTTGTTTAATCGACTACGGACAATCCAATTGCTGAATTGTCAATCATACATACGTACGTACATTACTTTATCTCTCTTATAAATAACGATAGCATTTTATCTTAATAAATTATTGTACAACTTATCCAATACTGACGTAGGACATAAATTAGAAGACTATAGCGATGATGTAACGATTGCTTTTTTTTAAAAAATCGCATCATGTGCATGCTTTAACTGACAACGCCCTACAAGTATTATGTAAATGCTTTCGTAATAACGTTAACACAATGTGTATTTTTTAATATTCTCATTATAGTTTAGCCTACTAAATTGATGTATGGAACTTTTGGCTATAGATATACCAAATAAAGTAGCACCCGTGGTTGATGTTGGTACCACGATAACGTAATCTCCAATCTTTACATCAATCTTTTGAATATCTAAAATTTGACTATTAAATGAACTATTCAACATTTGATTATCTATGCTCTCTAATACTGAAGTATTATTAAAATAGATTTTATGTCCTCCATCTGTACGTCCTCTAAGTCTTTCATTATGACGATTTGAAATACCTTCTACTAATACTAATTGTGGAATACCTAATAAAGTGTTTAATTTAATTTTTGCATTTATATGAAAAGTTTGAATTATTTCATTTAATCGACGAGTTTTGACATTTCCAGGCACATCATCGTGATAATTACGATGAGCATGGGTTTTTTCACGCATACTATTTATATAGTATTGAATTAATAAAAAAAAAAAAGTTGTTTGATTATTTTTGATATACTGTATAATTTTTTTGCTTACCTATAGGCAAACATATATGCCATATCAAACTTGACCTTATACATATAATAAAGTTTTATTAATAGGAGATTTTAATTAGAAATTTTTCAAAAAAAAAAAAAAAATTGAAACCTTACAATTTCCATTAAGCTTATAGTATCCTGATGTTCTTCTTCTGTTTCTCCACAAAATCCAGTTATAATATCAGTACTAATAGATACATTAGGTATTATATCTCGGATGGTATTAATTAAATCTAAATATCTGAAAGGTTTATCAATATCAAAATTTGTTGTGGATATTGTAATTAGTTTAGAAATACAATTGATACTGTCTAACTACTCAAAAAAAAAAAAATCTATGATTTTTTAATAGTGTAATGCAATTAAATTATATAATAGATTTAACAGAGTTTAATAATAGATTAAACAGTATCAACTGTATTAACAAAAAAAAGGTTTGATAATAACGCAAAGCTTACGCTTCACGTGAATATCCACGTCGCATTCGTTCCAGCACTTTTGTATTTCCAGATTGTACTGGAAGATGAATTTGATTACAAATATTTGGTCGTTCCGCGATCAGGTTCAATAGATCCTTTGGAAAATCTTTTGGATGAGGTGATATAAAACGTATTCGCATCTTTTTATTCAAAATTTATAATTAATATATACTATTAATAGTAATATGAAAATATGAAAATATTGTACCTCTGGATCAATTTGGGATACATGATCAAGTAATTCAGTAAATCTTATACCACCCTCTTTTCGACGATATATGGTTTTGAAACCATCGTTACTAAGTTGGTCACCAATACCAAGTGGTTTATAAAATTCATATTCACTTGTATCTCGATATGAATTCACGTTTTGTCCAAGAAGAACCACTAAGAATTATAAAAAATTAGTAATATAATAATTAATATAATCAATGAAAGTAGCAATTTAAATATTTAAATGTTAACCTTCTTTAACACCTTGATCACTTAGAGTTTTGATCTCTTCAATAATAGATGGATATAAGGGACGACTTCTTTCAATGCCTTATATGATTACGTTAGACTGAGCAAACCAATTAAATCACTTAATAAATTATATCATTACTATTTACCTCTAAAATGAATTTATATAAAAAAAAGTGTATCAGATTATAATTTTACATACATATCATATGATTTGTATAAAGCGAAGGATACAGTACCTTGTATGAGGCACTATGCAAAATGAGCACATATTATTGCAGCCTCTGATGATAGAAAAAGTATGATTTTTTTTAAAATATATATATTACAACGTACGAGTTTAAATTTTATATGATACAAACCGCATAATACTTAAAGAAGCACTAACATTGCCTTGATGTAATCTAACAGGCATTATATCAGCATAGGTTTCATCGGCTGATAACATAACATTAGCAACACCTTGAGAAGTTTGAATAGCCAAAGATAATAAATGAGGAATTGAACGATAAGCATCAGGACCACAAACAATATCAACCATTTTATCAGCATCGAGTAATTTTGTTTTTAAACGTTCTGCCATACACTAATAAAATGATAAGAATAAATGATAAGAATAAATGATAAGAATAAATGATAAGAATAAATGATAAGAATAAATGATAAGAATAAATGATAAGAA